TTTTTTTTTTTAATTTTAAATTTTAAATATTTTTAAATATTTTTATTTTTATTTTATTACTTTTTTGTTTTGTTTTTGTTTTTTAATAAATTAAAAATTATTTTGGTTCAAATAAATTATTTTTATAAAAAACTATTATTAAACTTATTGTTGTTTGTGTTGTTGGCTGTTCGCTGTCGGTTGTCGGTTATTGCTGTTAATAGTGTTTACTAATATTGTTGTGTTATTGTGTTTCATTGTTTTATCAGAAAATGGAAATTACTATTAACGGGAATAGAAATATTTGACCATGTTTTACTGCGTTTAAATTGTGTTTAAAATGGATTAAAACTAGTTAAATAACTGGATAATTAGTGTATAACCTGGTATATAACTGGTGTATTACTGATGTATGGCTGGTGTTTAACTGGTGTTAACCGTAATTTTCAATAATTTTCAATGTTTCAATTATTATGTTTCAGTTAATTGACATATCAAGAAATTAGATTACGGAATTATTTAATTAAACAAAAAAAGTATTTTTATATAGAAAAAAAATCTCAAACTTCAAACTCTAACTCAACCTCCTTTTTCTAAACAATGGTGTCAATGGGTTACAACGTTAGATTTACGGATAATCTCTGTATGACCATTATTATTATTATTATGCACTGTATATGTGCGTACTTAATTAAATGTGGTAATGTAATAATAATAATATTATTATTATTTATATCTAATAATATATAAAATATTTGCATTTTTTGTATAAATCGTTTATAATTTTTTTTAAAAAAAGTTATTTATAATTTCATATAAGTCATCATATCAATATTCGTGATATTCTGGATATTCTTGTAAAATGAAAGATATAATATAATGTCATTTAAATTGTCATTTCAAATCTGCGTATCAAAATAAGTAAATCAAAAATGGTCAATTCACTGGTTTCTTTTTATATTTTGAAACAATATTAGTTAATCTGATCATCGAATCGGATATTAATGTTTATATTGTATTGGCTATTCCGGAAAATCCATTATAAAATAAAATTTTGGTAAATTTGGTAAATTTGGTTAAAATTTATTAAAAAATTTCCTATGTTTAGTATAAGTTTTTTCTTTAAAGAAAAGTAAATGCAGTCGAATTATGAGGTGAAAATAATATAGTGGAATACGAAATATGGTGTAGACTCAAACTCATTCACCTTTGCCAAGAAAAAATTGATCTGACTTTCAAAGTTTATCATGTTGATTGTGTGTGCACTTTTATTATCATGCTGATTACATTTCGTAAGTTTATCACACTCATTAGTACAAGTTTATCACACATTAATTAGTGGTTTTAAGTTTAGTAGTTGAACTATTACTATGCCTAAAAAATAGTTGAACTAGCGCAAATAGATTACTATGCATTACTATGCCCAAAAAATTGAACTAGTGTAATGCCTATAAAATTGTTGAACTAGCGTAATTGATTACTATATAAAATTGTTGAACTAGCGTTAATTGATTACTATGCCTATAAAATTGTTGAACTAGCGTTAATTGATTACTATGCTTAAAAAATGCTAGTTCACTAAGTGTACACTACTTCGACCAAAAGTTTGAAATTGTAGGTAAATTTAGGCAAACTAGAAAAAATAAAAAAATTGATTTTTGATGATTTGATAACGTAAGACCAGAATGAAACATTACGTATTTTTTTTATCATAATTTCCCATTATAATAGATTATAATAGATCCATTTTTGTTATTAATCACGTGAATATGGTTTTACCCAAAAATTCTTTTTTTTTGGCCGTGTCACAAGAGACACAGGAGAGAACACAAAAAAAGAAACATTGGAAAAAAAATTCCGATATATTTTATTTGTCATCAATTTAATATATCACGTGAGGTGAAGCTTCATCACCCGATTAGAAGAAAAAGAAGAATGAATTTTTGAGAATGAATTTTTTTTTTTAAAAAAAAGAAACCCATTTTTTTTTTTTATAAAATATTATGAAAACAATTTTTCAACTTTTAAAAGAAAACAATTTTTTTTTTTCAATTTTTTAACTCTTAAAAAGAAATTTTTTTTTTTATTCAATTTTTCAATTTTTCAAACTTTTCAACTTTTTATAATTTTTTTATTCAATTTTTCAACTCTATAAAAAAAAGAAAACAATTTTTTTAAGAAAACATCACCTTTAAAAAAAGAAAATAATTTTTTTGAAAACTAATTTTTTTTTTTTCAATTCTTCAACATTTAAAAAAAAATTGTAACCAAAAAATTGTATATTGTATATACACCGTGTAAACACCAAAAAAAGTTATGTATACTATACACCCAAAAGTGTATATATATTCAAAATTTTTATAAGCCTCAATTCGGATTATACAAAAAAAAAAAAAAAAAAAAAAAAAAAGTATATATATATATAT